CACAACTGTTCCTCTAAGATACCCTCCGAAGGGGCCAAAAATTCATAAGCCTTCTTCACCATATAACTACCATCTGAATCATGTAGCCACCTCCAACGATCTTCAACACCCTTCTTTAATTGCAAATTACCCAACTTCTCCCACAACGCCTCCTCCTCGTCCTTCTCTCGTCCTATTCTCCCCCTCCTCCATTCCAGTTTCCAGTTCCATTTATCCCTTTCCCATACCCCCATTTCACAGATATTACCCTCCTTATTCATAGACAGTGCGTACAACCTTGGGTATAGATCCCTTAAATTTTTCCCCCCTATCCACCACTCTCTCCAAAAACCCACCCGATTTCCTTCACCCACTTCCCATCTAAACCCCTCTACCAACATACTCTGTAGTCTCATCGACCGCCCCCCTATACTAATAATATCTCTCCAAAGCTTAGATACTCTCTAGTTCCCAATAGCCTTAATATCCACCTCCTTCCCTTTGCCCTCGTAATATTTTTCTGTTAGTACCCTTTTCCACAGGCTCTCTACCCCATCCCCAAATCTATGCCACCATTTCCCCAATAGTGCCCAATTTTTCCTACGCAAATCCTGCACCCCCAAGCCCCTTTTTACCCTACTGCGACATACATGTTCCCATTTCACCCATGAAATCTTCTTTTTTAACTCCCCCCTCCCCATAAGAAAGTTCTTTGAATGCGAATTAACTCAGTAACCACAGAATTTGGCATTAAAAATAATGACATATAAAAAATAGGAAGAGCAGAAAGTACCGAGTTAAGCAAAGTGAGGCGGCCACCGAAGGACAGCGAAGCAGCTTTCCAGACAGCGAGTTTAGCACGAAATTTTTTTATCACCGATTCCCATAGTTTCCTATTCCCTGGATTTCCATCAACAGGCATTCCCAGATAAATAAAAGGTGATTTTCCGACTCTACATCGCAACATACTTGCTGATCCTTCAAGCCATCTCGTTGAAACATTATATCCATAAATGTTGCTCTTGCTAAAATTAATTTGAAGACCAGACATCAGTTCAAACCATCGCAGAATTGTTTTAACCAGGATTATATTCTCTATGTCAGCCTTTCCCATAATGACTGTGTCATCCGCGAATTGAAGTAGAGAAACTGCTAACCCCTTCCTGCCAATCTCTATTCCTCTAAACATACGCTCCGACACTGCTTTCTGAACCAATCCATTTAATCCCTCCCCAATCATCAAGAATAAGAATGGTGATAAAGGGTCCCCTTGCCTTAATCCCTTTCCAACCTTGAACTCCTCCGTCAGGCTTCCATTAACTAGAACCGAGATCTTAGAAGTCGCCAAGCATTCCATAATCCAACCTCTCCATTTGATTCCAAAACCCAAGCGATCCATCATCCATTCCAAGAATGACCAATCCACACAATCATATGCCTTTGCGAAATCAGCCTTGAAAACAAAAGCCGGCTGCTTCCTTCTCTTAACTTCCTCCACGACCTCATTCAACACTAACACTCCATCAACTAATTGACGTCCTCTCAAGAAAGCAGATTGCGTTTCACTGATAATCCTCAGCATCACGGCTTTAATTCTATTGGCCAACACTTTTGTTAACAGCTTGTAAACACACCCGATCAAGCTAATGGGTCTATAATCCTTTAATTCCACAGAATTAAACTTCTTAGGAATTAGAGCTAAGAAAGATGAATTCAGCCCACTAACTAATCTACCATTCTTGTGAAACTCCGCAAAGAAACTCATAAAATCTTCCTTTAAACTATCCCAAGCAAACTTGAGAAAATTAAAATTGTACCCGTCCGGTCCCGGAGCTTTAGATCCTTCACAGCTTCGTAACCCTTCCTCAATTTCTTCAATGGAGAATGGTCGTTCAAGCCATTGTTTTTCCTCTGCAGAAATCTGTTTGAAGCTAACCCCGCAAGGCTTTGGTCTATTCCATGTGTCTCCTTGAAATAACTTGCTGAAATAATTATACACCTCCTTCTTAACCTGTTCTGGTTCTTCCACCCAACAGCCATCACGCAATAAGCCTGTGATATTATTTTGGGCCTTTCTACCATTTGCTACTCTATGAAAGAATCGCGTGTTTGCATCTCCCACACGCACCCAGTTGCTTCTTGATTTCTGTTTCCATATCACTTCTCTCCTCCTCATGATATCCCACATTTTCTGAAAACCTTCCTGTCTTTGAATAATCTCAAATTCGTCCAGATCAATCTCCTCATTCTTCATATCAATTTGCTCTATCTGTTTGACAGCTTGTTCATACTGAGTTTCCATATTTCCAAACACCTCCTTATTCCAACCCTTTAAAAATGCTTTTATCTCTTTTAACTTCTGTTTACATTTATATCCTGCGAATCCATCAACTTCCATTTCGCTCCACTTTTCTTCAATTACCTTCTTGAAATCTGGATGAAGCTACCATGCATCCAAAACTCAAAATGGCTTTGGTCCCCAATCAGTTGTTCTTGAATTCAATACGATTGCACAATGATCAGAGATATTACGTTTCAAGCCCTGTTGCACCCAATTTCCGCCCATACTGCACATCTCTGCATTCATCAAGAATCTATCAAGTCTGCTCATGGCTGTACCATCTGGCCTGTACCATGTAAAGTGCCTATTAACCATTTTAATATCAACTAAACCTGCTGCCAGGATAAATTCATCAAATTTCTTCATATCTGGGCTCTCTCCAGTTCTTCCCTTTCTTTCTTCAAGACATCTAACGGCATTAAAGTCTCCCGCTAGCAACCATCTCCCTCCCTCTTCAATGATCATGTGCTCTAACTCATCCCACAGCTTTAACCTTTTCTGTCTATCATTTGGGCCATACACATTCACTAGATTACATTTCACCTTATCTAGTCCCCACTCCCCTGTTATTCTCAGATAACCATCACCCGTAAAATCTTTTGTCTTAGCAAAATTCTTCTTATTCCAGATACATAACAAGCCACCCGAAGCTCCTATCGACTCCTTCATCACCCAGTCAATCTCATTTGAATTCCACATCGTTCTGCATAAATCATCATCCCCTGTTTCTAGCTTAGTTTCTTGCAAAAATAGGAAATCCGGTTGTTCTATTCTCACTAGTTTACCCACTTCCTTTCTCTTCAATACACTACCCAAGCCTCTAACATTAAAGGACACCAACTTCATTAATCAAAAAAATCCCACACACCCGTTTGTACCTACCCGACCCTTTACCCCACTTCCCCGGTCACTCCCCTGCAGCCTCCCTCATCTCCAATTCCAGCAATCGGGACTGCACTTCCTCCTCATTATTTTGAATTTGAATGCCCAATCTCTTACCCATGCTCATCATCGTCCTCACCTCATGCAAGGCCATCTCACTATGAATCAACCTATTTCTATTTATTATACACCCATCAGAAAAAGAGTCACTAACAACCTGATTTACCTTGCTCACTGTACTCGTTTGAGTTCCTGCTCTTTGTTGCTGTCTCAGCTTTGTTTTTGAAAATTCCCCGTGTGTCTCTTTTGCCCGGATTTCCACAAAGCTCTCTGGGTAGCAGTCTTCTATTTGTCTTCTCCGCATCCTCCTCGAATCCCTAATTGCAATCTCTCGGTGGGTGGCTGTCTCTTTTTCAAAAACCTCCTTGGGCCCTCTCTCTTTACTTCTCTTTATCTCTTCTTGTCTAGAATCCCCTCTAAGCCCACTCTTGCTCCTTAGTCCAATTTCCTTACCCTCCAGCAGCCCATTTGACTTGGGCGGCCCACTCGCACCATCTTCTATGACCGCATCCCCTTCTTCTGCATGCCAGCTTGCCTTTCCTTCCTTTGAACTTTTAAAATTTGAATTCAGAAGACTGCCATGCATTAAATGCTCCTCATCCATGCTCACGTCATCTTCTGAACAAATCCCTGCATTACCGAAATCTTGATCTTCCTCATTTTGCTCGGATGAAAACTCCGATTCCGTTTCCGACTCACTTTGCCGGTCATCATCTAAGAGCCACCAGTCTGGGTCGGAGCGCCATTCTTCCTCAATCACTTGTATTTCATACATCTGTTCTTCCACCTTCAGTGAGATTTGTTTAACTACCATATGCTCTGCAGAACATATAACTAATATTCTCCCCTCACACAAGATTGACTTCATCTTTGTGTCACCATGTATCATCACGACCTCGCCCATTGATTCTCCGATCATTTTAAAGCATCTGTCAGTCCATGCCTTTAATGGAATCCCAGATATACGAAGCCATACTAATCTGCTTCGTTCCTGAACTTCCTTGTCCCATGGTTTAATGTCTTCAAACCACAAATCAAACAGCTCTTTGTTGAGATTCATAAACTCAATCAAATACCCTGGTTCTTTTTCCGTTAGCAGCACTCTTCTTCCGCCTATTGGTGATACAGTAATCAACCCACCATCCACATCAATTCTCTATTGAATATCGTTTATTAATGGTAGGGATTTCAGAATGGCCACCATACCCCCTTCAAGCCATTTTAGCTCTTCCTGTGTTGGTGTGAATTCCATACATTCTCCCTGAGACTCAGCGTCCCTATCCTTCTCCCTACTTCTTTTGGGCTTTAGTATTTGACAGGATTCCACTTCCTCCTTCTCGTTTTGTTGCCTCGTCTGGATTGTTCCTTTCTTCAGATGAGTTGAAGCCCTGTCCTCTCCTCCCAGTGTTTCTACAGAAGCCGGTAAGCTTTGTGTCCTCTGTTCCTTCCCCTTTACCACCTGAGCGTATGACTGACCTGGTTTTACCAATCTGTCAACTCTGTGCTGTGTTTTACCCCTTGTACCTGTGCCTTTTGCTCTCTCTTTACTTCTATCCTCTGTTGTCTTTACTCTCAACTTGTATGAGTCTATCCATATTTCATTCAGCCTCCTAACCATTTGATTTTCATTCTGTACTCCCAGTAGACGTAGAAAGCCAAACCTCTTTCCCCACTTGTCGCGCTTCTTTGGCACAAAAACATCTATCACTTTTCCATACCTCTGAAACCTGTACCATAATTCTTTCACCTCCACGTTTTCTGGGAAATTATAGATGAAGAAAGTCGTAGCTTGCCCCGAAATCTTGTGATCCAATCCTGGAATCCAACGCCTGTGCCCTTGCCGCTGTCTGGTGCCGCTAGCTTCCCCTATCGCCGCTCCTCTCGCTCTAAACCTCGATCTCTCCATCCTGCAATTCTCAATTAACCTTTATAATATAGTAACTTGTCAAAGATGCATGAAAGGGAAAAAACTAAAAAAGCACATCAAAATACATAAGGACTAAGGTCATCTGCTGTTAATTAAATCCTATCGGTACCGGCCAATGGCGGATACTGCACTGTGGAGGTACTCTTATGAATCTATCTCAAGCATCCCTCAAAAGCCATTTTACTTCAATGAGGGATACCTAGACGTGGAACAAGGTTTTTGACGGACGCTTTCTTTGGTCCTCCAATAGAAGGGGTATATAGCCCATCTGTTCAGAGTACTCTTGTCCAAGAAGGCTGTGCTTAGCAGGTTTCCTGACATGTCAAGCATTCAATTGATCCGCTTCTAGTCAAAGGTGTAGAAGTCCTCCGATATTGTTATATGTGCTGCTGTCGTGATAGTCTGCAACTTATGCTGCCTGCTTGTTCATTCTCAAAAAATGGGCTGAGAAATTGTATAATTCTCGTGTATATTCATAAGAAAATTGCAACTGCAGCTATATACAACTCTTAAGATATTTGAATAAGGAAATTCCCTACAGCTAATACCAACGTCTATTAATTGGAAGGAAAGTTTATCAATGCCTAACGGCTAGAATGGATTATGACTAACGGTTATATTAATTTGCAATACAGAAAATATTTCTCAAACCCTCTCCAAGGTGGAGCATATGTAAATCTGTGATGCCTAACTTGTGGAGAAAAAATTGAAATCGATCTCCTTCCCATGCTTTTGTAAATATATCAGCTACCTGGCCGTTTAGAGCGAATATGCGAAGTTCTGATAACACCAATTTGAATCCAATGCCGAATAATGATGGAAGTTAGGTGAAGCAGCTTAGGTGGCAGTAGCAGTATATTAGTGCCATCAAGCCGCCCAAGTTCAATTTGGTTAAACTGAAACTAACCAAACTGTTTTGTGTCTTTTTCTAGTCATATTTCTAGTTGGAGCCATGTGATGATGTGTATTATTTTGATGATAAAATATTATTGTAAAAGAGCTCCTTAGCTTGTATTTTTTGAATTTCAAAATTTAAACTCTCTGTGTACAAATGCTGGAAAACTGAAATGAAAACTTGATTTCAGCTCTTCAACGTCTCTCTCCATTTCTTTGAGAAATAACCGAACAAATAAAATGATAATCATTTTCAATTTGCTCTGTTCATTCATGAAAGACAGGATTATTGGCGAGGTGGTAGTAGCCATCTGGTTGTCGCAATATATGTAATTGGATTGGCCGAATTGGCTGAATCCTTATCATGAAATAATATACATTTTTAATTATATACTTAAAAATGAAAGAATAAAAATATATTGATATTAAAAATATTAATATTAAAAAATTTA